TCTCTTCAGAAGGCAGCTGTTTCCTGAGATGAGTTAAGTGAATGTTTGTTTGTGTTGTATTTTTCTTTTTTTTTAAACAAACTTTATGAAGCAATAATTCAGATACCATAAAAGCCACCCATTAAGATTCACGAATTTAATGGATTTTTAATATATTCAGAGGGCTGTACAAACTTCCCCAACAATCTGCCTTGGAACGTTTCCCAAAGGAACTTTGTACCCTGTGAGCACTCCTCAGCCTCCTGCTCCCTGGACCCCTGTTTCTGTCTCTCAGACCAGCCGGCTCTGGTTCTCAGGGGAATGGACTCACCCGACATGTGTCTTTGCTGACTGGCTTTTCCAGTTATAATAAAGAATGTGTTGTTGTACTGGCACTAGAGCTCAGTTGGCAGAGTGCTTGCCTAGCACACATGAAGCCATGGCTCAATCCTCAGGACCACACACACTGGGTGTGCTGGTGCGTACCTGTGATCCCAGTGCTGCGGCATAGAGGCAGGAGGGTCAGGAGTTCAAGATCAGCCTCTGCTGCACAGAAAGTTTAAAGGCTGGACTGGACCACACCAACCTTGTCTAAGAAAGGAGAGAAGGAAGAGGAGGAGGAAGAGGAGGAGGAGAGAAAGGAAAGGAAAATGTGTTGTTTTCTAAAGGGATGCTGGGTTTGTTGCATAGGTGAGACGCTGCCTTCTTCCTCTCCCAGTGGTTCTGGGTTTGTTTGCTTTTTGTTGGTTTTGTTTTGTTTTGCATCATTGGGAATTGAACCCAACACCTGACTCATGTTGGGCAAACCCTCTACCACTGAGTGCTTTTCATTTTGACTTTGAGACAAGGTCTCACCAAGTTGACGAGGCTGACCTTGAACTTGTGATCCTGCCTCAGCCTCCCGAGCAGCAGGATGACAGCCCTATGCTACCACCCCGGCTTCTATAGGTGCTTTTCCAGCTGAGAGAACTGACCTTTGGCTCAAGCCACCATCGCCCATAGATGGTGGAACTTGCTGGCGATGTTTGGGCATCGGCGCTAGGGCCTGCCCAAGACCCCTTGGCAGAGCTGCTCTGATTTGGGGTCTGTTCTGTTCCCTTCATGCGCCCCCTTTGCTCCCCAGGCTTGCACTGTGGGAAGAAGGACATGAACAAAGTGCAGAATGAGTGACCAGTCCCCACTGTCAAAAGTTCGAGGGGTGGGCAGCTGCAGGCTGCCTGCCTCTCTCATGTTTTCATCTAGAAGTAGAGCCTACAAGTTTAATTATGCAATTAAAGTCATTTTCCTGGGCTGAACAAATATTTACAGCGTATTTCTCTGTAAATTGCTTCGCCTGGAGAGTAAGCCTGCCACTCAGGTTGGCAAACACTGGCTCATTTGCATATCCCATTACCAAGGGGCTCACAGCCTAGCTGGGCCACAGGACCTGGGCTGCGTGGGCAGGACTCTTGGGGAGAATGTCAGCCACGTAAATGTGTTTTTGGCACCACTCTGAGGCTGCTGTGGACTCAATGACGTCCGCTGATCTGCTGTGGCGGCCCCCAAGTCCCCACTCTACGCATTTCAGAGACCTCTGAGCTTTTGTCCTGATGCCGAAGGGACCCAGATGGCTAACAGAACATGACTCAGGGACACAGTTCTGTAATAATCAACCCCTCACTGATGGTGCCCAGCTGCCCTCCTGTCCGGGGAACAGGCCTACTGAAATGGGTTTAGCTTGAGTTCTGAGCCTCTCCTGGGGGGGGGGGGCTCAATCTGCCAAGCTTCCTGTAAGAGCCAGGCAGGAAAACTTCAGAGTAGGCAAGAAGGCGACTGGTTCCAACTGACCCCAACCAACAGGTCCCTCATCTCAAGCCACCATTTGCCCCTGCAAAAGGCACTTTACATCTCTCAAGGGGGTCACACACCGTGCTTTAGCAGTTGAGGGGGGCCTCCTGCTCTGATCTAGGTACTGGCTTGCAGCAAAGTTCTGGGGGGCTTTTGTGGAATAGCAAGCTGTGGGGTTGGGAGCAAGGGGAACCGTGCACAGATCTGTTGCTAGAAACGGTGGGAGCCGAAGCCATGAGTCTAGAGCAGAGGCCAGGCCTCTCCCTTGAGGGAGGTCTGGGAACAGACACTGTCTGGGTAGACGGCCCCTTCTTTCATTCTAATGGCTACCCAGTGCTCTATTCTGGAAGAACTACAAATTTTTTTGTTAATTCCTGTGACTGGGCTTTTCCAGATGGTCCCCAGGCCTCGACCACGATGGATGGCAACTTGGCCTTCAGCACCTGGATGCTGTCTTAGGGTAGATGTGAAGTTTTTCTTAGGAAACAATCTTTACTTTTATTCCCCCTCTCTTCCTTTTCTTCCTCCTCTCTTCCTTTCTGTGGTACCATGGGTGCAGCCCAGGGCCTCCTGCATGCTGGAGCTACAGACGGAGCTACAAACAAAGCCAGCTGAAGGATGCACCCCGGAAAGGCAGGCTTGCTGGACTCAGGCTTGGGTCCCTTTGTCTGGTGAAGTTGGGACACTGAGAGAAAGTTGTTCGTGGTCCTGAGTGTCTTCCCCTACCCCAAACCATGACGTCTATGAGAAGGAGGATGGATGGGGTTGGAGGCCCCTCAGAAGACCAAGTGACACTCCTGAGCCACAGTTGCTCATCAGAGTTGAAGAGGGAGGGGAAAGGCAAGGTCCCACCGTGACATGGCTCCCATCTGGCCACATGGAGGATCTGGAGTAACGCAGAGACTACTGTCCTCGTGGGTCCCTTTCTGTGTCACACCCTTGAATCAGCTCTGCGGATTTCTTCAAACATCCTTAAGAAAATGCAAATCTACCCATTTTACAGCAGGGGAAGTCGAGGCTTGGAGCTCTGTGCAATCACCTAAGGGCACACTGAGAAAAGAAGTAGAGCCTCGATTTGTCAGCTTGCATCCATATTTGATGCAGGATGTTCTTATGTTTATATGTTTCTACTGATTGGCCAGTAGCCAGGCAGGAAGTATAGGTGGGGCTACCAGATGAGAAAAATTCTGGGGAGAGAAAGACAGAGAGAAGCCACCAGGGAGACACCATGCTGCCAAAGGAATAACATGAGGAATTTCGGGTAAGCCACAGCCTCATGGCCATACATACTTTAATAAAAATGGGTTAATAATTAAGAGAGAGCTACCCAGTAAGAAGCCTGAGCCATCAGACAAATGTCTGATGTGTGCTTATTTGGGACTAATGGGCTGCGGGACCAGGTGGGACAGAAAACTCCATCCACACATACTCTCTCACAGACCCCAAGGCCTACACTGAGCTGTGCTGTCCCATTTCATCTCCGTACCTTACAGGGCTAGTGCTGTCCAGGGAATGCAGATGGGGCACAGGAGGAGCCTGCTGACACACGTCTAAGAAGGAACCAGAGGCCGGCTGGACCCCACAAGCAAACCCACCTGGATGGAGCCATTACTGCATACTATGCGTTCTATGCAGCCGCATAGAACGGAGCCCCACCTCGTGTGGCCCAGTATTCCTGTCAGGGACACAGATCAAGGGACCCATGGCCCTGTTTCAGGGATGCAACCCTGCTTCGCTTAAAGGGGACGGGAAGACTGCTGAGTCCCAGCCCTGGTAGATGCTCCTGGCCTCCGTCTCCCCACCTGAAAACCATCCTCCTAATGGAGTCCTGGGGAATTGTGGGTCTGTGGAGGTGTGTTGGGAAGGGAGTGTGGGAACGAGCCAGCAGCTAGGTGTGGCAGAGAAGGCTGAAGTGATCTGGCTACTCCCTGAAAGGAAAACACACTCGGAGGGAACAAGTTCGTATAACTGCAGGGTGAGCGCACCATATAATACACGATATAAAGTTTATGGCTTGTTTAGACTCTTCTGGAACAGCCAATAAAGGAAAGGAGCAGCAATCCAGGAAGGGCTCAGGCTGACCTGGGCCAACCCCTGCAATCTGCCTTCCCAGGCTGCCCACGGGAGAGTGAGATTTGTGCTCTTCCTTCTGTTTCTCCCCACCCTCTGGGCCTGTGGCAACTGAGAAAAGTGTTGCTCACGAAAGGGCTGAAGGCAAAGGCCTGTGTCTGTCCACAGTGCACTTATGGAGGAGGCTGAGGCCCTAAGCTCAAATTCTTTTTAACCCTGTAGATCCAGCTGTGCAAACGCACAGGCCTGCCTGTAAAGCTGACAAAGAGCACCAACTAGTGGCACCAATGAGTTAGCACATGGGAAGCCAGGCACTCTGCTTTCCGGCTCTCTGTGCTGCTCCCAGCCTCCTTCCGGTCCCCACCCAAGTGCAGCCCCTGACAAGTTCCCTCCTTTCAAAGGTATTGCTGTGATGCTGTGACTCCCCCCAGGGCCTCCAAGGAGCAGGATTAAACCTCCAGGTTTTTAATCAGAGAGCTCTCCTTTTGCTAGTTCAAGTAAAAAAGAAAAAACAACGCCAACGAAATCCACTTTTTCTATAAAAGTTTATTTTGTAATTTTTTTCCCCAAGAAGTGGTCAGGATGCCTATTTCAATTATGTAAAGAAAGGTAAGGAAGGGCGGTGTATAAAAATAACTTAAACAGACATACTAGCAACAAAGCAACACATCCCTCTAGTTAACAACTGCAGATAAACTTGCCCAAGATTTCCCCAAAGGTATTAAATATTTTGTAGACAATGGGACAGACAGGCTCACACACACACACACACACACACACACACACACACACACACATGCACACACACATATATACAGCTCAAGTATGTTTTCTGTGCATTTTAGCTAACCCTACAGCTAAAGTGAAAACCTGGATTCCTGAGTGACCTTGAAGTGGAACCAAAACCCGCATCATTGTCAGAGCAAACCTTGGCGCGCGTGCTGTGATCCCCACCCAATCGCATTTGTCCCTAGCCCGTCTCTGTGGTCTCCGCTGACTAACAAAAGGTGCCTCTCTGATCTACTCAGCGTTGTGTTCACTATCTCAAAGCTGGGGCAGGCTGGCGTTGGCCTGGCTCCCAGTGCATGCTGGGAAGGGGTGACTCGAGAGCCGCCCACTTAGGATTACATCTGGCTGATTCTTTGTTTCAGGGCTTGGAGTTCCCTCTCAATTTCGTAAGGGAGGTCAGCATTGACTTGGTCTTCCAGGTACTTGCTGATCTCCTCCACCTCCTCCTCCCAGAACTGCTTGGAGATCCCTAACAGTTCCTCCACGTTGACATTCCCCAGGCCTTTCAGGTTCAGGGCGTTTTCCTTAGGGACGTAGCCGATAGGTGTGAGCTTGGCGATGTCTTCCCCTTCAATCCTGTTGAACATCCACTCAAGCACCCGAGAATTCTCTCCAAAGCCCGGCCAGAGGAACTTGCCGTCTTTGTCCTTCCGGAACCAGTTGACATGGAAGATCTTGGGCAACTTGGCTGCTGGGCGCTGAGCCATGCTCAGCCAGTGAGCGAGGTATTTGCCGAAGTTGTAACCAAAGAAGGGCCGCATAGCAAAGGGGTCGTGCATGATGACCTTGCCTGTTGAACAGAGACCACCATTTACCTCTGACCCTATGGGGCCAGATTCACTCTCCCCCTCCCTCCACAGCAGACACCAAGAAGAGGGCTTGAAACGCCTTTCCTGGAGTTTGGGGCACAGACTTTGACTCACCCTTGTGCTCTGCAGCAGCTGTGGCCTCTGATCTCATGGCTGCTCCTACAAATACCCCATGCTGCCAGCTGAGGGCTTCATAGACCAGGGGGACACCTGGGAGAAAACGGTCATTATAGACTTAGACATCCAAACTTTACAGGACTGACGGTGCTATGTCACTGTTCAGCCAAGCAGTATCCTTTTTGGGATGAGGAAGTTTCACTCTGTAGCTCAGGATAGCCCCGAACTTGCAGCAGTCTCCTGCCTCAGCCACCCGAGTGCTAGGATTATAGGTGTGAACTGCCTGAGAAGCAGCATTTTCTGTTGAGTTAGTGTTCCGTCTGCAGAGACAATCAACAGGAAGCCACGAAGCCTTTGTCACACCAGAGAGGTTTCTCAGGGAAGCAGAACACGGGCCTGTGATATCTCAGATCTCAGATCCAGAAAGGCCATGTGCAGGGGTGTGTGTGTGTGTGTGTGTGTGTGTGTGTGTGTGTGTGTGTGTGTGTGTGTGTGTGTGTGTGTGCCTGCCTGTCTGTCCCATTGTTTACAAAATATTTAATAGCTTTGGGGAAATCTTGGACAAGTTTATCTGCAGAAGGCTAGCCCTACATTTAAATTTGTCCAATTGATCTGTATATAGGGAGAGGGAGATCTTTGGATTCCCTGGATTTCTTTGTATGGCCGTACTCTAGGTTCTCAGCCTGAACAGAAGTCTCACCTGCAGGTCTACGACCACCAAAAATGATGCCCTCAATGGGCACACCTTCTGGAGACTCCCAGGCAGGGTCGATGATGGGGCACTGGCTGGCTGGGGTGCAGAATCTCGAGTTGGGATGGGCACAGGGTTCCTCTGCAAGGGGGAGAAATCCCTTAGCGTGGGGCCCAGAGAGGTGGTGCCCACAACCTAGAACACATGGCCCCTGGAGGGGACTCACCATCCTGTGGTCTCCACTCCTTGTTCTTCCAGGAGGTGATGGTCACACCTGGGGCCAGTGGCTCATCGATCCCTTCCCAGTAAACACCACCATCACTGGTTTCAGCCACATTGGTGAAGATGGTATTCTTCTGGATGGTCTTAATGGCATTGGGATTTGTCTTCACTGAGGTGCCAGGAGCGACTCCGAAAAAACCGTTTTCTGGGTTGATAGCCCGTAAGTTGCCTGGAAAGTTGCAGATCGCAGAAGGAGGTGTGAATTGGAGCCAGGCATAGCAGAGCTCTTAATGCTTTGACAGGCTATCCCACCTGCTAAATTTCCCTTCTTTTTTCCTCCCTCCCTAATCTACACAACCATCCATTTTGGTCTACGCGCCTGGTCAACTCGGTCTCCTGAGGCTTTCCCCCTTCTTCACAGCTCCTGAAGTACATTCTCTTTTATTTGCTTATTTATTTTGCATGTGCATATGTGTGCATGGGATGGGGTGTGAGTGTTCCAGGGCACATGTATGAAGGTCAGAGGATAGCTTGCAGGAGTCAGTTCTCTCCTACCACCATCTAGGTCCTGGAAATCAAACTCAGGCCTTCAGGCTTGGCGGCAAGTGCCTTTACCCATAGAGTCATACTGCCAGCTCTGTAATACCCCAAACAGGTGCATGTGTGTAATCAAACAGCTTCTCGTGGCTCTCTGTATCCAGAAGGTCCTCACAAAATGCCTGCAGACAACACGGCTGAGGCCTTGCTGACTGAACTCAATCACGCCATGCCCAGTGCCAGCCACTTAGGAGAATGTGGAATATTTGAAACCAGTCACCACCAAGGATCATAACTATCACCAAGCAGAACTGGAGACTCACCTTGGGCATCAAACTTCATCCAGGCAATGTCATCACCCACACACTCAACTTTCCACCCGGGGAGTGTGGGGTTCATCATGGCCAAGTTGGTCTTCCCACAGGCACTAGGGAAAGCTGCTGCCAGATATTTCTTCTTGCCTTCAGGGTTGGTTACGCCCAGGATCTACAAGGATAAAGACTGCATTAAAATTTCTAATCCTTGACATGCATGTATGAAACTGTCATAAGAAAACCCATCACTCTGTATCGTTCATATAGTAAGAGAGAAAGACAAGGGGTACGTATTTTCAACAACATCATGGGCCTGTCTTTCAAACTAAGGGAAGGTGGCAGAGGGGGCAGAGAATTAAAAGGAAGAGGGATGGATGGGAAGAGAGGAGAGGCGAGGGGAAGCTTGAGATAGCACTGTTGTTAAGAAATGCAATGTGGTCCCTCCCGCCCCAGAGGTCTAGGAATGCCCCCTAGGATCTCCCCAAAGGTAGATCCTCAGATCTAGTCCTTGGGTATCAGGACCGACTGATGAGTTGCAAAAGAATAAAATCCCCAAGGTCGCTGTTGTTTCCGTGTGTCTGAGCCCCTTCCCAAGAGGTGACACTGTGGTACTTAGCGTCAACTTGGTATTCCCTGACTCTGGCCTCAAGTCCTCAGAGGTTGGAGAATCTCCTTTGCCACCCCAGACCCTCCAAATTTCTGCCCAGGATCTCCAGACCACTCACCAGCATGTGCTCTGCCAACCACCCTTCCTCCTTGGCCAGCCGGCTGGCGATGCGCAGCGCAAAGCATTTCTTCCCAAGCAGCGAGTTCCCTCCATATCCGCTTCCATAGGAGATGATCTCTCTGCGGTCCGGAAGGTGGGCGATCAGTGTCAGCTCGGGGTTGCAGGCCCAATTGTTGATCAAAGGCTCTGAAAACAAGCAAGCTCTCCATGAGTGTGTGGTGCTCGTGGCTGCCCAGGTCTCCAGGCTGACCTGGAACTTCTGATCCTCCAGACCCCACCTCCTGAATGCTGGGATGATTGGCCCAGGTCCAGTTTACCTGGTGTGTGGGATGGAGCTCAGGCCTCGTGCATGCTAAGCAAGCACTCTACTCACTGAGCCACACCACCAGCCCTCCACTTACTTTCGATTTGGAAAGAATGTACTTACTTTTTAAGGGAAGAGGGCACCCCACAGAGTGGAGGCACTTGATAAACTCCCCATTGCCCAGGGCCTCTAAAACTGATGTCCCCATCCGTGTCATGATCCTCATACTGGCCACCACATAGGGTGAGTCTGTCAGCTCAATGCCAATTTTGGCCAGAGGCGAGCCCAGGGGCCCCATGCTGAATGGGATGACATACATGGTACGACCTGCAGAGGCAGATGGGTAGGAGTGGGTAAGAAGTTACAGAGGCTCACAAGGCATCCTCACACCAATTTCCTGGTGGTACCCACAACCCTGTCTCCCACATCATGACTCTGGTTTTGCCATAATTAAAGTTTTCATCACCCTCCCATTTGGTTGCACTAAAGTTGCTTTAAATCTACATGAATGGAGAGCATTTAATTAATTTATTTATTTATTATTTTCTATTTTATCTATTTGATATTACTTATTGAGCCCAAGGCCTTGCAGATTCTAGGCAAGCCACTGAACCACACCAGCAGCCCCTTGTTCAGGTTTATTTTGAGACAAAGTGTAAGTTGCCCAGGCTACAAGTTTGAATTCTCCTGCCTCGGTTTCTCAGTGTCTGGGATGGCAGGCCTGAGCCACCAGGACTAGCAGAGAACACTCTAATATTCCTGTATCACCATCTATCCAACAGAACTGGGAGGTACATTTTCATGTCTGGCCGCCCTATGCAGCTCAGGACCACCATTAGGAACATGAACTATGTACACAGAACACTGTGAGGCTTGGGGTTCAGGGCCCCTCACCTTTCATACACCCCGGGAACCTGGCGTTGAAAGCTTTCTCAAAGTCCCCTTCTGACATCCAGCGGCCCAGCTGGCTGAGGCCGGTTTTGGGGATGGGCACTGTGTCTCTCTGCTCTTGGGTGATGATGACAGTCTTGCTTTCAATCCTGGCCACATCCCTGGGGTCAGTCAGAGCCAGCCAACTAAAAAGAAAAAAGGAAAGGCATTATTTCAGCAAAGCATCCTTAGGGATGTACCCGTCTTGCCCATGTCAGGCTCTCCCAAGTCTAGCAGGACACAAGGACATTAGCCAAGACCCTCAAATATGGAAGCCAAGCCAACAGGGACTTGATCGGGTTGACATTTGCTAGACCATGAGCTGGCCCTGGGGAAAGGAACTGTCTTCCATGGTTATCTAGAATCTGGTGGCTGGCTATGGTAACAGGGTGTCTGAACTCTGGTTATTGTATTAAGTCTCTTAGGTGTTTGCTACAGACTCCAAGAAGGTGGCACTGGGGACCCTGTGGGCTGAAGGGACTCACCAGTTGTCATACTTCTTCAGCTTGCGGATGACACCCTCCTCCTGCATGTGGTCCAGCAAGCGACCATACTCCTCCTCAGAGCCATCACAGATGTGGATATGCTCCGGCTGGCACAGCTGGGCATTGGCTTCCACGAACTCCCTTACTGCCTGGGACAGGCTGTCGAGGCTGCCCTGGATGACCTTGGCAGAAAAGTCCAGCCCGTTATGCAGTTGAGGAGGCATATTTGCAACTGTGTGAGAGAGCGGGGATTCCGGGGTCACCTGAAACAGAAAAAGAGGCTCCTGAACACCGAATCCCATGAGCTCCTTCCACCCCTTCTGTAGACTTTGCATGGGTTGCACGTGGCCAGGGATCCGTGATTGTCAAGGAAAAGAAAGTGAGCCATCCTATCACTGATGTTTTAAGAAAGGCTAATGAAACGAAATGACTCTACTTACCTTTCTTCCTTTCGGAAGGTCTGGGTCAGAGATGGGAGGGTGCCTTGCCGGATTTTCCCTGTTGACCCAGGGAGTGTCCCAGAGGGAAGGACGACTGTGCCTGATAGCCAGCCTTGGTGGCTTTAAATACTATGCAGAAGGGTGGACAGCCCTGCCTCTCAGCTGTACCCGGAGGCTCGCCTCTGACGTAAGGGGCAGGCCTTTGGATCATAGCCACAGTCAGCAAGGTTTGAAACTGACTTAACACAATAAACCTCAAGAAGATAATGATTGAACTCAATGTTGTTAATGAATGTTGGGAGGCCTCAGGGAGGCCTCAGGCCCCTCTGTCTGCCATAGTGATTCTTTACACAACATTTGATTGGCTAAACTTTGACCCTGCCTCTTGCTGATGCAAACTACAGTCCCTTTTCTTGATCGGTAGGTAGGGGTCAAGGACAGGGTTAGCCGGGGCACCTCTTGGACTTCATATGCTGTTGGCAGCACATTCTGTGTGCCAGTGGCTGCTGGTTGTCAAAACACTGTGAGGTGTCACCCCCATGGTCAAAGGTCATGAGAAGAGACTCTAGCTCTGAGACACTCGCCTTCTAGACAAACGTCTGTAGCAGCTGAGTCAGCTGGAGTATGCCACCTCCCCAGGAGTCGGGTGAATTCTCTGGCCACTCCAGAGGGTATGGGCTGCTACAAGCTTTGTTACAGGGGGACAGTGGCTGGCACAACACTGGCTAATACAAACATACTGCTCCCTGCACTCACAGCTCATGTCAGCTCATTCTTTACTGCTGCCTGAGGTGCAACGGTGACAACTCTGGGTACAGACTAGGAAACTGAGGCAGAAAGATCAATTAGCGGGTCCCAGCTGGCTGGTCAGAGCCAGAAGGGTATGCACACAGTCAGCTGCAGAGTACCACGGGGCCCTTGTAAAGTTCCATTGCCGTCTCTAGACCTTTGGTGTGTTCTTCAGGAAGTTCTGGGTTAGCCACAATCACCCTTGCAGCTGCCTGGATACTTCTTGCCAGTCTGGGAGTCTAGGGAAAAGAAGTGGGGGTAGGGAGGGGCTTGGCAGTTCTGCTGGGTCACACTTGAGCAGCAAGACCTTTGTCACAGTCGTGAAGAATCCGCTCTGCAACCCACAGACCTTCATTCCAATTGAACGAGCCTCAAGCTTGCCCACTGGAGTTTAGAGAGAAGTGAGCGAGAAGTCAATGAAAACAGGCCAATGGCCAGGCCCAGCTGCCCACAGCTGGCCCCAGAGGAGACTGCAAGGGGTTGGTCCACTTCCCTATGGGCAGGGAGATGATCTCACAGGCAACTCTGTGACTCTGATTACTAAGACCTGTGTCAGATTGGAGGCACATTTAAGGGCCATCCAGGCAGAGTGCTTTGGGGTTTGGCTCACTCCGCAAGGCTATGTGATACCTGTTGCCTCCTGCACCCAAATTGCCACCTCTCCGGGGCTCATCCAGGGGGCTTTTCATGTCAGTGTAGAAGAAGGTGCTTCCTATTGTAGTCACCAAGACTGCTCATGAGGGTGGCCTCACCCTAAGCAAACTGTGTTGTGTCTAAATCCAGCCCAAGTGTCTGGTTCAGTAGCCGATAGGCCCTTTCTCTGCACCAGGCATGGCCTAACCAGCTGTTTGTTCCAGTGTGCTTCCTCGGATCTTCATGGCCAAGCCCTATTCTGCTGCTAGGTTTGAGTCCCTGGAAGGTTGAACTGAAAACAACCGAGAAACCAGAACTGGAGTTTTATTATGTATACAACATTAAACCAGAACTGGAGTTTTATTATGTATACAACATTCTGCTTCCATGTATATCTGCACACCAGAAGAGGGCACCAGATCTTATAACCGATGGTTGTGAGCCACCATGTGGTTGCTGGGAATTGAACTCAGGACCTCTGGAAGAGCAGTCGGTGCTCTTAACTGCTGAGCCATCTCTCCAGCCAAAACTGGAGTTTTGAAGCACCCTACACACATCCAAGGTATCTGCTATGAATCTTCTAGGAGGGACATAGCTAGTCCAATGATCATGGAAGAGCAGGGGTCCCCATGACCTTCCAATCAGTCTGTACCCCCACATGCACTGTGCAGGGGTGCAGTGGCCCCATGCCATGCCTAGTCAAAATGTCACAAGGCAGATAGATACTGGGTTACAAAATGACCTGGAGGTCTATGGTCCTCCAGAAGAATTGAGATACAAACAGAAATCAGGCCTCTAAGGGCATTCAGGCAAAGCTGGCTAAAGCGTCCTCACCCTAGCTGAGGACACCCTGGGGCCCCTCCTTCCTTTTCTTTGTTGATTTCCAGCCCATAAGAGACCTCACTGGGCAACCCTCCTGCCCCTTCCCCAGGGAGGGTTGTGAACCAGCTCACCTTCCCACTGCTTCATCTTGAATAAACCTCCAAGGAAACCCTAGGAGCTGATCACCAGCTGCCCTGCTGTGGTTCCCAGAGAGTCCTGAGCCCATCTCATGGGGATGCTCGGTGCTTGAACAGGACAAGTGAAGGCCGGGAACTCCCTCGGGGTGGGATTCTTTCATGTGGTTTCTCACACAAACATGTGGAGAACCCCATACTCCCAGACTGAAGCCCATGTTTCCTTAAGTCGGGGCAGCTTTCTGTCAAGTGTGCACAGTTCTTTCCCAATGTAAAGCTGCTTTGGAGAGAAAAGAGGAGGTCCAGACACCCAGAAACAGATTCAAAATTATACTGTTGTGTTAGTCAGGGTTCTCTAGAGTAAAAGAACTCAACATATGTATTATACGTGTACATGGGATTCTTTGAAATGACTCACAGCTAGTCCAACAATGGCTAGCTGTGAATGAAAAGTCCAAGAATCCAGTAGTCTTCTGTCCATGAGGCAGGATGTCTCAGCTGGTCTTCTGTATATGCAGGGACCCTGAAGAAGTCGTCTGTAAGGTCAGGGAAGGGATGGGTGTTCTGACAAGACCAGAGCAGGCAGGCAAACCACAAAAGCTCCCTTTTTCCATTGTCCTTATATAGGCTTCCAGCGGAAGGCATAGTCCAGATTAAAGGTGTGTGTCTTTACAGGCTGTGATGGCACATGAGTTTCATTCCAGTGCTCAAAAGGCAGAGGCAGGGGGATCTCTTTGAGTTCAAAGAGATCTACAGAGTGAATTCCAGGACAACCAGGGCTACACAGAGAAACCAAAGAGAGAGAAAGAGGGAGAGGAGAGCCCCTGCTAGGAATGGTGTAATCTAACACCCAGGCAGCTGAGGCAGGAGGTTAGTGAGTTTGACCCATACAGTGGTCCTGTGGGAGAAAAGGCTACATACACTTGGCCCGTCTCCATGACCACAGCCCACATCCTGTATTTGCATCCAGACTAGGATCAATAGTGATGACACAGACAGCAGCTATGACCTCTGAGGTCACAAGTGCCTTCCCAGATGTGTTTATACATGTCCCCAGCAGCTGTGAGGTAGACAGATATGGCTGACCCGTACACTTAAGGAGTCATTTAAACCCAAGTACCCTGCGCCTCCCTCCAAGCATAGTCTGGCCCTCCTGATGCCCCTGGCCTTCTGGGCAGGTCGAAGGGAAGTGGTTGCCTGAAAAGTGCTGGGCAGAGCAACAGTGTAGTCATTTCTCCAGATAGGCTGTCTCCAGGACTCTGGAAGTGGGTGGCAGAAAGCCCACACAGAATAGAACAGTCAAGAAGCAGTCTGAAGGCCATGGCTCTACCTCTGTTGGTAGAGTGCTTACCTAGAATGCACAAAATCCTGAGTTCAATCCCCAGCACCCCATAAACTAGATACAGTGGCACACGCCTGTGATCCCAGAATTTGGGAGGTGAATGCAAGAGGATGGGCATTCAAGGCCATCCTTGGCTACATAATAAGTTCAAGGTCAGACAGAGTGGCAGTGGCGCGAGACCCTGCCTCCAAAAAAAGGCAATCTAGCCCTGGCCAGGTCCCACCAAAATACAGCAGTTGAGATAGATAGATAGATAGATAGATAGATAGATAGATAGATAGATAGATAGAGGCCATAGGCAGTGGCTATATGCCAGACAAATCAGGAAAAGAAGCACCAAGTGGACTCCCCTATGCAGAAACTGAGTGACTGGGACGTGCTTTACTGAGCTTTGGTTGCCTGAAGGTCAATGAAAGAGTATCTACCCCACAGCAGAGCCTCCTCTGTGTTTGGAAACAAGAGGAACCAGGGGCTGTAGATTTGAGATGGTGCCCTCAGGGCTGGCGTATCCCATCAAGCCTCCTCCAGAGGAGAGGCAGAGAGATGTACTTAGCGTTCCCTTCATTCACAGAACCTGACTCCCTCAGTGTAACCTTCAGGCCTCCACTCCAGATCTTAGTGTGTGAAGGGTTTTACACCCAGGAAATCTACTCATCTCCAGGGTTCAAGCCTGTCCCCGTCTCCCCAAGCCGCACCTGTCACTCTTAGACCACAAGCTCCCAGGTCACCTTTCCCATGGATGGAGGGGTTCCTCCCTGCGTGGCTAGCAAGGTAAGGCAACTACAGAGAGGCCACTCTGGGGTCCTGAGCTCGTAGGGACCCCTACTGGCAAAGTTAAGGGTTAGTTTGTTTGTTTCCTTTGTTTTGTTGTTGTTGTTTTTCTAGATGGAAGCAAGAAACAGTGTGGATTGCACACATTAGAGCCAAAGGCATTTTCACAATCCCCCCCCCTTAGATCTCTCCTGCTTATGGTTACTGGAGGGGCACCTGGCTGGCCTTTCGGTAGAAGTTCCCGACAGCAGGAAAACACTGCAGCCTGGAATCATCACCAGGGCGATTCAGGT